TCATGGTGATATCTATTATTTAAAATTTTTACCCTATTCACCTGTAGTGTCTCGCCTTCAGAAAACACCAATTTTACCTGGTCAAAAACAGCTCTGTTTTCAGCACGCCGTTTCAGTGCATATGCCTTTAAATGATAATGAGCTTTTCTCACTCCCCGGGCGTTTTGACACAACACACGTGGAGTGTTGCCTTGACAACAGTTGAGGGTATATTTTGGAGAAAGAATGGCAGCGGGAGTCTCTGAGGACACATCTGTGCAACCGTATCAGTTTGAACCGGAGTCGGACCCGGAACAAGATGACGGCCGCAAAGAAGTTCGACAATTAAGGCTCGAACAGGACGTTTCTGAATGGTTGGTTAACGTAATGCCACTTTGATCTATTTTTGTATGCACTGGCAGGGTAGAGTAGTGAGATACGAACGTTATGTGTTTACTGATGTTTACGTTAGTTCATTGACTGATTGACATTACAACTAATAGTCATGAAAAACTTTTTTCCGCGATTTGCAAAGATTAATATAAAGGTTAATAAAACTTTACACTTACTTCTGGAGGTGCAGAGGGAACATAAATAGTTGACACCGATTCTTTTTTCAGGAGCAGCTTCTTAGCAAAACCAGCTTTATATTGACCCTCGTTTATAAAGCAGTCTGCTGAGAAATGATTCACGCAAACATGAAAGCATTGACGTTGCTCGTGGGGAATATTCTCTTCGAAAACAAAACTCAGCCACTGCGTCTTCAGCGGTTCGGATTTAGGAACATCAAAATGACTGCTGTGTTCGTTATTACACCCAAGAACAGAACACCACAATCGCTTAGACGCCATTCTGCTCCAGCGTATCAACAACGACGGACTATGATGACAGCTCGCTCAGGGCGGGTCTGTGTTGAAACGCTGCTGTCAATCAACAATCGTGGGAGGGGCTTTCGTTTTATTGACGTCACAAAAACGAACGGCTCAATTTGAGGCAGGGGAAAACATATAAGGAGATTAAAACAAAAACACTGGATGGATTTTTACAGGGTCCGAAATTAACACCCACCAAGCGCCAAATGCGGGTAGATTTTCCGTTTGGCGAGTAAATCTCAAAAGGCTATCCGCCCCACTGGCGGGTGAATGTTCATACCAAAATAGTAATGTAATAAATAATATCCTCCTGAGACCCAGAAAAAAAAAGTTTTTTGAATTTAGTTTTTTTCCATGTCATCACACTGTTTAGAGCACAATAAACAAATGGTAAAAAAACATATATATAAAATAATATTTTATTCATACGTTATGCTATGTCCTCTGTAGTGGACGCCAGGACTAAGTTGTTTAAAAAATAAAATGACATGAAATTATATGTATAGGCAAAAACAATGGGATTTTTTTTCAATCACCAATACATTTTGGGGTTTCAGGATTTTTTCAACCAAAATTTGTATAAAGATTATTCTCAACTATGTTATGAAAGAAATAATGGAATGAATTGATACACCATTTTACTTTTTGCAATATGTGGGTAAAATGGCCATAAGTTAATATTCCCATTCAATGCAATGTATCGATACACTGTATCTAATTTGCACATTAATGTGTTCTTGGAGCAACATTTAGGCTAATGAAAAAATAAGGGTAATAATTGGAGTAATAATTGGCAACATTTTAATAATAATATATAATATTTCATAGGAATATTGATGTATAATTTTATTTCCATATTCACTTGTTGTGTCTCCCAGAATGCCTGATAAACATGATTTTAGTCCTGATGTCCTCTACAGTGGACACGTTTGAAATCAATGCCCTGTTCTGTAACAGAAAGTATTTTTTTTATTTGAAACCCCTTAACATTTTCCTGAGATGTTGTTTTATGAAATACAATTTGAAAAGTAGTACAATTTAAATTACAATTACAATATATTATCATATTTCCATAAGAATGCTACATTTGATCACTAAATTAATGTCAGACATTTTTAAAGACCAAGGAGAAGTTGTTTTCATGGTGAAACCTCCAAACATTTGGTATCTCTGAAAAGTCCTGAATGCGCTCTTTACAGGACACCCAGGTTGTGTCATGTGACATGTATGATGTCAGAGAAATTCACTAAAATATAATGTCCACTACAGTGGACAAAAATCTATTCTTGGGTCCCAGGAGGATATATATAAATTAATGTATATGTGACACAAAAAGGCTGTTTATTATTTTGGCCGGTAAAAAATATGCTTGGCTGGTGGATTATTCTGGGCGCAAGCTCCGGATGTGTGCACACACAAAACTTCTCTCACAGCGAGTACCGAATTAAGCTCTCTTTTGCGTCTTCTTGCACTTAAAGGTTTACATTGGCATGGCTTAAAAACATGTGCAGTCAATAAACATTCACGACGATGCAGAACTGGCACGATCGGGACAGTGACAGGTCCGTCAACTCTTAGCCATCAGGCAGTTCTTATTGTCGAGCCCTGCATTTAGATTCAGCACGTCAATTCTGTGTCAGTTTATGAGTATGCCCCTCTCTGTGTTCATTTATGCGTGTTTGTTAGAATGCGACAGGGGGCGCTCTCAGCCATGCAATGGTACGTAAAGCTTAGCAGGAAATAAATTATATCTGCGCTAAACATATTTTTTTACCTCTAACTGGTTCACAGGCTAGTGGAATTGTACAATTTACTAGCCATTGGCTAATTAAAGACATTTTTGTCACCTAGCATGAAATTTAGTCGCATGTGCATGTGATTCACTCGCATTGTAGAGGGTTGCATTGAAATGATCGGGTTTTGTGTGTGCATTTCGTTTGTTCTTTTGCATGCATGCTAGGGCTGTCAATCTTCCTCTATAATACTATTCGAATTCCATTCCTTATTTTATTTAATATTCGAATAATATTCGAATATTAAATGCTCAAATTCATCCTATTATTAATATTTACGACATACCTCAGGCTTATGGATCGCCAATGCCACTATAGCATGTGGTTGTTGTTACACGTTCTGTCCACTAGAGGGATATCTAACATTACAATAAACATTTTATTCGTGCTGAATATGGTTGAAGCGCTACCGATGGTTTTCGGCTAATATCTCGGCTAAAACACCACCAACAATTCTGAAACTTATATCGTTCTTTTCAGTTCCACTAGACGGTTCTAACGAGTTTGGTGCTCGCCGAATCCGTTGAGTTTTCACCAAGATATTTGCGCTTCACGGGCGCTTTTTTACGTTGTTAAACATGTACCATTTTTGACAGTATTGTTATGATGATACAGCGTGGATAACGTGCACAATTGTGTTACGATTCAAAAACGTTATTGTTCATCAGACGAAACAAAAGCATTTCATTTTCACATGTGTAAGTCAAGGTGGCGAGAAAGGCAAGATTCCATATAAAAAAAAATAATGAATGGGAATAGGAGCAGGCTTCACTCAATGATTAAACTTAAACTTTAAGAATGCTGGCCTGATGATTAGAATATATAGCCTAACGTTAAACAGGAAAGAGGCCGCACTATGCATAAATTGTTTTATTTGCACAAACGCGTTTCGGCGCGTGCCTTCTTGAAACGCGTTTGTGCAAATAAAAAAATGTATGCATAGTGCGGCCTCTTTCCTGTTTATATATATAAAAAAATTAAAATATACATAAAAAAAACAATATTCGAATAGTAACTTCAGCATTCGAATAGTATTGATTTTTTTAATATTCGAATTATATTCGAATTTCGGAATTCGTTCCAACAGCCCTAATGCATGCATATGGATGCATACATATGAGTGTTTGTGCATACGTGTGTCTTGCATTCCCACCATGTCAGATGGCAGATGTTTGACACAAACCCATTCCTCAGGGGCACCTTGTACTCCCAGATTATTGATCTTCATCTGGCAGAGTGCTGCAGGCCAGGCTGACCCTTAATGTCTGCAGCAGCATCACACACACACTACCTCTCAGCTGCTCACCCGGGACCTTATGCTCTGAGCTGGGTCCCATGAGCTATTGCATTGGGAGGCCCCCAGGCCCTTGAGAGAGGGTTCAGCATTCCATGGGGGTTCTGTTCCAGAAGGATTCCAAAGCCTATGGGATTCAGGCTCAATCAGCATCCCTTGCTGCGGGCGATGGAGAGGCCAGGCTGGGTGTGAAGAGATGGAAAAGACATAGGGCTGTGGTTCCCTCTGAGGCTGACAGAGAGTTAATCAGAGTTATGCATGCACTGTGATCCCCAAGAGCTATTGGTCCCAGAGGATACATCAACCCTTGGTTGACAGTCACTCTCTCTTCCTTTCTCTTTCTTTCTCAATCATGGAGTGCACTTATGTACAATAAAACACTAATATCAGCTCATTGTAAAAGCAGTTTTGGGTGTGCCGGTCAGGTTTTACTTAGTTTATGTCCTTTCCCTAATAAAAGACATTAAGGCATTCACACGACCTTACCGACCAATGGCAACAGACACGTTCGGCTAGTTTTGTCGGATCGGTGTGTTACCCCTGTTGGCATCTGTTAGCATTGCTCGGTACTTGTTTTCGCTGACTGAACATGTTGAATTGCCGTCAGGATTCCCAGAATTGGAATGTCTGAGAAGTGACGTACTGTAATCTAGTGACTGTTGCCGTTGGTTGGTGTCTGTCGGTGCAGTGTGAATTAGCATTTAGGCTCTTGTCCCTCATGATGGTTGTATAGCCTATGTTATGTTATGATTTTGCTCTCTGAATTTGATTATGAGTAGGCACATCTTTGATCTGGCAGAGCAAATTTACATATTAATTTTGCTCTTTTGAAATCAATGCTGAACGCAACAAAGACCTGCCTCTGAAAGTAAATTGAAACAATTTTCTGTGGCATAAGTCTTCCTGTTTTATGAATTTATTTTCCATATAGTTCAAATCTGATTTTGTTAAATCAAATGATAGACCTTAACCTCCAAAATATGTTTGCATGTGTGGTTTCTCTGGTCTTTTCAGTTCCAGATTTTAGCATTGATACAAAGTCTACTTCTCTTGTCTCTTCAGTTCCAGATTTTAGCATTGACACGCTCTCCACCAATGCCAGCCAGGAGCTGCGTGGCCTGGCCATTCCCAAGGTGTCAGGCCTAGAGCGCAGTCAAGAGAAGAGCCAGGAGACTTCCCGCGAACTCTCCTCGGCCACCCCCTCACTGGTGCCCACTTCCCATTCCAAACCTCCCCTCCCCACCCCTCTTCATCTCCAGCCACCCCCCTCCAACCGGGGGTTACCCTTGCCCCCAAGTCCAGCTCAAACCCAGCACCCTTGCCCAGAGCGCCCAGTTAGAACGCTCACGCCAGCTACTGCTCTGCCTCCAACCCAGAGCCACAAGCCCACTCAGGCACCCCCGCTCCAGCCTCGGGACCCATCTGAACCTCCATCTAACCCAAGGCCACCTCGAACCCCAGGCATCTACCACCACCCCCCATCACCAGTGCTACCAGCCCAGCAGAACCCCACCATACCTGTGCAGCACAGACCACCCTCACGGTGTCACCCGCGCCCGATTTCAGCCTACAGTGGCAGCCTTACCCTTAACGGCCTGAGGTGAGTGGGCAACAAATGAGTGTAATGGAGTTAAATATTAGCAAGAAGTTTCTATTATACTCCAGATGTGCTGTATACTGAATGAGCAGATGTTCTGAGCCCACCGCTCTTAAATACTGTAGCGAAACAGCATGATTCCTGTATTAGAATGTAAAATGTATCAATCCTCCAGTAAACATGAGGCACAAATCCCTGTCTGTATGTGTTTGTGTGTGAGTGTGCGTGAGCCTGACAGCACCACAGAGAGAACCCCAGCTGAGAGATTAGACGGTTTGATTCGTTCCCCTCCCACATAGATGCTGCTGCTGCCTTGTAGCTGGCGGCGGCTTGTAGATAACAATTTCTCTGCTTGACTCAGACACCCCAGTATCCAGCAGAGAAGCAGATCTTCTCCTCCCTCCTCTCGCCCTTCTCTGCCGACCTTTAGATTTCTTTAGACTGCTGATGATAATCATACCTTGTATTTCTCTGTGTCTGTGTGCAGCTTTTAATATGAAATAAATTGCGTTTAAATGATTACTTAGCCTGTAAATTAGCTCTTTGTTAGATCGCGTACAACTCTGTGAAATACCTTAGCTTGTGTAGCTAGAAAATCCCTCCAGGAATAACATTCTTCAGCACTGTATGCACATTTTCCAGGTTTCTTTTGCTAGATTTGTAGCAGACTTTGTAGCAGTTTTGTGATCATTGTTTGGAAAGGTCTTTTATACAGGCACATTTTTACAGTTGTTTATTTTCTCTTTTTTCACAGCAGTAGTCGAAGCAGCACTCCAGGGAAGCCCCCGGGCCCCTCTCCAGCCCCTCATCTGCATCATCACCAACCTGCCCCCACTGGGGCAGCAGCGACCTTCCCCCTGCCAGCGAACCCCACGGCTTCGCACGCCTTCCCCCCCTCCCTGCCGTCCTCCACTCTTCCTCATCACACCAATATGTTTGCGTCGCCTGCTGCTCTGCCTCCACCTCCTCCTCTCACCTCAAACACTCTGCCGGTCCCCGGACACCCAGCTGGGAGTGCCTACTCAGGTACCAATCTCTCATCTAGCATCCTTTAATACATAATATAAAGTAAGATATTATTTCCAGCTCATATTGGATCACGTAATTATCGTTTATCTGAATGTTTGTTCTGCATTCAGATAAACGCTTTTGAAAAGGGGTTCTGGTTAAGTTCCAATTTAGATGTGTGTTTTTAAAACTTAAAGTTTATTTTTGTTTCCTTACCTCTTTCTTCTCACAGAACAAGACATTCTCCGGCAGGAATTAAATACTCGTTTCCTGGCGTCTCAGAGTGCTGATCGCGGGGCATCACTGGGTCCCCCTCCATACCTGCGGACTGAGTTCCACCAGCACCAGCACCAGCATCAGCATCAGCACCAGCACACACACCAACACACACACCAGCACACCTTCACCCCTTTCCCCCACGCCATCATGCCCACGCCTGCACCGCCCATGGTGCGTACCCCAGCCAGAAATGTGAGGATAAGTGGAACACAACTCTAAAACAATTAACATTGTGGTGATGTTTGGGTGATTGTATAATTGAATGGTTGAATGGGTAACTGAATGTATAAAATGAATGCATAAAAAAAACATAAAAACTAGGGCTGCACGATATTGGAAAAAACTGACATTGCGATATATATTGCGATATAAAAACCATTTCACCATGATTTTAATAGCTCTATTTGTAAAGAATGAATCATTCTAAGATGATTGGGGTAATTTTGTAGGGTAGTGCATCTGCATAGAAAATAATAAACAAATTACAAGCCTAGATGAATACAATAGAACAAAGACACAGATTAAATAAGCAGTGCTTTATGTTTTTCGGTTAAATTACCTATTCAGGTTCAGACATTGAAAATTCATATAATTAATACAGTTTATCTTTGTTAATGCTACAAAAGTGATTTTCTCTATCTCTTTTGTTGTCTGATGAACTTTGGTGACAGAAACAGTTGCGGGTATATTGGGCTGCTGTCACTTTAAGACGAATGCACTATCCAATATCGGGAATGACAAGCATCCGTTTTCTTTCTTTGTTTACAACTCATAACCGACTGTTTACGAGGAAACTCGTCGAGACGGGCATTTTGACTTAATTTTCCGTGCCCATGTCCGTTCAAGCACAAATCGATAAGAAAGGGAAGGGAATTTGGTGTTCACGAACTTCACATGCTGTCTGCGTGGCTCTGTGTGCACACAAAAATGGGTTTCATTCTGCGAGTTCCAGTCTTCTTGCACTTGATGTTTAAACAGACAGGACTTAAAAACACATGCAAATGATGTCACTCTATGATGTTTAAACTTTGCAATTACTCTGCGCATCACATGCGTTCTGAACCGGGTGGCAGCTGGCCCGTACGGATTACGGATCAACTACGAACCCTATACTACATCGCACATCCTGCGATGTGACTATAGTGGATGCGCACATCGCAATATCGATGCTAAAAATTATACATCGTGCAGCCCTAATAAAAACCAAATGCATGTATATAAGATACAGGGTTCCCACGGTCATGGAAATTTCTATTGTGAGTCCTTTTAATGTTTAATCAAACCGGATCACATATAATGAATTTGTTAGCGAATCTGTCAAAATCAAATGCATCAAAATGATTTGTAAAAATCCTTGAATCATCAGAAATCATTGAAATTTGTCAAAAACTGTGGGAACACTGTAGGTAACTACTAAAATTGTGCATGTGTATGTGTTGTACCGACTGCTGAATTATAAACTTGTACGGTACAGTATTCAGTAAACATTGGAAGCCATGGCAGTGGCTCGCTTTCTCGATCATAACTTTTCTCTCTTGCCACAATGTGGCTTTTCTATGTTGAAAAACTTCTGTTTTTCTCTGGCATGCTTCTCTACCCTCTGTTCTCTGCCCTGATTTTAGAATTGGCAGTCAGAGCCACTGGCAATACATTTTTGTTCCAGCCAAGCCTTGAGAACTTAATACTAGCTTATTCATTCCCAGTTTAATGACATCATTTTGGTCTGGTGGAGTTTTGACTGAGGGCTTTTGGTTGGCTAGCAGCAGGGCTGATTAGTGATTTGAGGCTTCATACAGACACTCCCACACACAGCTCTATCATAACCACAGTGCCCACATAGGCTTAAAAGTGGCTTTTGAACCATGCCAGGCTCAAAAGCCTCTGAGAATGGCGCTCTGTTAGCTAATGAGAGTATAAAACTAGTTTGAGAGCCGCATTGTTTACTCACGAGTGGGAAACATTCTCTCTGGATCCAGATTAGACCACTCTAACCTCATTAAATGAGCTGTTTATTGGACTATTTTTAGACATTCTACTTGACCACTCACAGAATTGCTGAGTTATACATATTAACGAGAGAAATCCCTTGTGATAATTCACTGTAAAACGCAAAACAACATTCTGGATGGGGGCAGCAGGAATAATGCAGGGCTACATTCTGATCTGTGCTTAAATTCATTAATCAGGGCAGAGACCATTTTACTGGCAACCAAACACACTTTTCTGGAGAGCACATAAAGCATTTGGTATTTGTTTTGACCCTCATGACTCCATAAGATATTTGTCAGGAGTAAATTGTTTGTAGGCCTAAAGGACTCCTGTGTGTACTGAGCTCTGTTTCTCCTTTCCTCTGCAGTTCGACAAATACCCCACTAAAGTCGACCCCTTCTACAGACACAGCGTGAGTCCTTGTCATATTTATGTAATTTGCTGTGGTGGCTTTTTTTCTTCTTGTTTAGTGTAGTGGTCATTGTCATTTTTATTTCTGCTTCATTTAATTTCATCGTACTTTATATTATGGGTGTTTTAAGCAATTGGGGCTATGCTTTGGGCACAGCTTAGGGCATTTTTAGGTACCACACACAGCCATAGCTATATTTACAATAGGCCTCTCAAGTTCCTTATTACACTTTTATTAAAAAACATTTTCTACATTCTAAATGTATTAAGGGCACAAATTTTCATTACAAAATTTTATTAAGCAGATAAAAATGCCTTGCTGGATACTGCAGGAATCGGGTTAGAGATGAAATGTGTTTCATTCTGCCTGTCTGTCCAACAGGTTAATGCAACTTTCATTTATTTGATCTCTGCCCTTCAATTACGGAGTCGCCATATAGCAATGATTCATTTGTGACACCCACCCAAGAACACACACTCTGCAGTAATTACATGCATTATGCAGTGCGTTGTGATGATAACAGTCATTGCTATCAGAGCAGGTTTAGAGAGTGACCCGTATTGTAAATTAATCTTGCTGTTAATCTTTGTTGAATGTCACAACAGCCAAGGGTCAGATGAAGGTTGTATCATTATATGGAGCAGAATAGGTGCTTTGTAGTCACTTTCTTTCATTTATTCATTTATAAAGAGAAAAACTAAGCAAAACATTGTTATGAATTATTTTCACATGGTGCGTATTTTCATGTTATGATGCTTTATATTATGCAGTATGTAATGAAGAGGGCCATTTAAATGTCAGCAGCTGATCTTGTGTAGTTGTTAGTTTGTACAGTGACCTGCAGGCTCTGGTCTCACTGTATAACTGTTAACAGCTGACACGATCAAACAAGAACCTCTTGGAGTAACTGCGTCTTATATCCTTTTTCTTTTCTCAGCTGTTCCACTCTTACCCCCCAGCGGTGTCTGGCATTCCTCCCGTCATCCCGCCGACGGGGCCCTTCGGATCTCTGCAGGGAGCGTTCCAGCCCAAGGTATCACAATATCAAAAGCTAAATGTCGGAATGTCGAGACAACTCCCAAAACTAACCTCCTGTGCTCTTCTGAGTGTACTCCTGCACACATGGAATGGATCTGGCTAAACATAAACATATCTCAGACAGTCTGTTACTTCTTTAATTTTATGTATAGGTATAGTATAAATAGAGAATCAATTTCATATGTTCTTTTTAACGTGTACAGTCTGGTGATGTCCCCAGTTAGCTAACAGTAATGCTTGAGTAAGTGAGAGATGATACTGGAAGATTTAGGTATCTTGTGATAAGCTGAGAATACTTACTTTTTGTCTTTGTACACTATAGACCTCAAATCCTTTAGACGTGGCAGCCAGGCCTGGAGCCGTCCCACACACACTTCTTCAGAAAGACCCTCGGGTAAGCACCCCAAAGACACAGTTTGCAATGAACAAACTGTGGTGACTGTGGTTTTTAAACTAGTGCTGGCAAACTAACCATCATATTTGTCAGTCATGATAAACTGTTGTCCACATTGGTATGCTGGCAGTGATAGGAAGGGGAATACTCTAAATTCTGGCCTAATTATTCCACGAAATGCTTCATTAGAAAGGGAAATTTTAACATTTTAATTTGGTCAGTGATGAAGTGATGCTCGGATGCTAATTAAAAGCCCTGACTGACAGCTTTGTGTCCCTAATCTCTCTCACTTGCGCTCTTTTTCCCTTTCCTCTCAAGCTGACAGATCCGTTCCGGCCAGTTCTCAGGGTAAGACTGCTTTATCAGTTATTCAGTTTGTTTCCCCACAGGACTATGAAGGAAATAGAGTAAAAGCTCATTACAGTTTAATCCCACCTTACACTTGGCACCTGCCTTCCGCTCCACAGTCTCTTTAATTAGCTGTGTGCTGGGACTCAACGGTCTCATTTCAGTGTCTATAGGAGACACTATATGACTCCCTTATCTGAAAACACTTTGTAATGACATTTTGCTTAATTAATTTGCAGCCATGCCCAAAATATGGGAATAAGCAAAGAAACTTGAAATTAACATTTTAAGTTAAATTTCACTTTAAAGGGACACTATGCAGTTTTTTTAGCTTAACTGAACAGCTTCGGAGTTATTGAAATGGTTATATGACTTCTTTCGGGTTGAATGGTGGCCGTCTCGCCCCCAAGTGACCAAACCCGTCAAGTGACCAAAATGCTCGTTGTCGCTGCTATCAGTGGCGCGGATACAGTGTTCTGTTGTGACGCGCAGTCTTCACACGGACGCGCACTTCAATCCGTTGTGGAGAGACTCTCTATATTTGTTACGGTGAAATCACAAAACCTAATGGACAAAAAAAACGTGTCCCTGCTTGATCGGTTTTGATGAGGAAAAAAAACTATACTACTTAGTGCGGATTAGCTAGAACCCAGAACCTCTGACACACTTGGCAAAAGTTCTGTCACTGGACCATTAAAGTACATGGGGATAATAGGCGGACTCGGATCTATGTATTTAATCACGTGAAAATTCTCACCAACAACATATGGTATTAGATATCATTAAACGACAAATTAAACACAATGTACTATTGTATACTATGCAACACGTCACGCCATGTCACGCTCTGCGTGAGTGGTATTTACGACAGTAACGTTAAATACAAGTACTCCACAGTCGCTGTTTGACAAAAACGGAATTCCTGCATAGTGTCGCTTTAAAAGTGCTCAACAGTATTACATAAAATTGTAGATAATCTTGTCAGATGTACACAATATTCTGTTATAAAAGTGCTTAAAAGGTTTAGATTAATAAAATGAAACTAACATGAATTTAGTCATGTCTAATCATGAAAACCTTGCCTTGTCTTTCTGTCTCCAAAGAAACCAGGAAAGTGGTGTGCTATGCATGTCCATATAGCCTGGCAAATTTACCATCACCAACAGAAAGTAAAGGTGAGATTTGCATACATAACCTGATTTCACTTTTACCCTCCGATCACTACATATGGAAAGAAATATTCTTTGTGTCTCTCTTCTTACTCCTCCTGTTAACTCTGAACTACATAATACAATACAATCTTTATTTGTGGGGTACTTTGAGAGGGGTATCACATTTGTTCTCTCTTGTACCTGGCCTTCTCCAGCAGCAGATGCAGGTTGACCCACACAAGCTGGACTTTGGCCTCAAACCGGAGTTCCTATGTCGACCCTCAGGCCCCACCCTTTTTGGAGCCATCCATCACCCTCATGACTTGGCACGACCTGCATCGCTTTTCTCAGCAGCAGGTGAGTGGATTTTCCAAATCTTAGAGTTGAGAGAGATCACTATCACTACACAGATTAAGTGCAGTGCTTCCAGTATTTTTCAGTGCTTAACCACTAATCTAAGGTATTATTTTATTCTTAAAAGATTTGTCATTGTTTTAGTCCCCATTTCTTAGTACTCATTACATGCAGTATCCAACTGTACTGCAAGCGAGTGAAGTAACAAAACTACAATCCTTCATTATACTTAAAGCAATCTATGCTTTGTTGAGAGCAGCTTTGTTGATGGTAACATTCTAATTTTATTATGTTGCTTGCGTTGTGTTATGTACTGTATTTTCACTCCTGTCAGGATGCATCATCAAAGACGTTTTTGCCTGTTAGTATGTAGCCTAGACCATTAGGCTTGCTTTAAGAGTGGAATAAATGTCATTGTTGTCTGTCTTTATTTCAGGGTCCACACATCCCTCAGCTGCACCTTTCGGACACCATCCACATCATCCTAGCAACTTTCTTACCCCAGCACCCCACTTAGGTAAGCTAACAAGATTACACATGCACGTTCACACTCCTCCACTAGGTGTCACTGTGCAGTCAATTACTGACTGAAATGTGTATATTCTAAGGCAGGGGTGTCCAGTCCTGCTCCTAGAGGGCCAAGGTCCTGCAGAGTTTAGCTCCAACATGCCTCAACACTTGCCTGAAAGCTTCTAATAATCCTGAAGACCTTGATAAGTTGGTTCAGGTGTGTTTTATTAGAATTGGAGCTAAACTCTACAGGATTGGACAACCCTGGACTAAGGGTTACTGAACACTTCTTTGAAAGTCAGTGCATAGTGCTAAAACGTGTTGATATATCTGTTCATTTGTGAACTAAGGACTCGGTTAAAAGCTGGTTCATTGTGAAAAGTTAACATTCTATAATGAAACAAGCTGTAGTAAATCACACAATCGTTTGTTCATTGACTGATTCTTTATTCCTGTTTTGATTGTCAGAGCCCTTCAGCAGACCGCCTTCATTTGGAGGTCTGGCCTCATTAAGCACTGCAGCTTTTGGTGGGCTGGGAAACCCAGCACTCAGTGAGTGTCAATTAGTCAAATTGTTGTTTATTAGAAATTTCACATTCAGTCAACTTTTTATCGTTCAGATATATCTCATTATTACACGGCTCTGTGGAATACTTGATTCTGATTGGTCAATCCCCCATAACAACCGGAAAATACTGATAACACAGGCTCATCCGGGTAACTGAAGAGTCAGCGTTTTACGTAGGGGTGCACGATTCAGACAATGTCACGATTCGATTCGATACCGATTTTTTGTCTCAAGATTCGATTCAAAATCGATTTTCGATTCAAAAACGATTCTCGATTTAAAAAACGATTCGCAGTATATAAATGTAGTTTACTTTTTCCTATGTGATTGATTGCAGTAGACACAATTTAAAAGAAAAAGAAAAAACACAACAAATTAAATGTAGTTTGATATTACTTTATGTCTTCATACAAAAATAAAAACTTTTGCAACTAAAAAGTGCAAAGTGCCAAGCTTGGCCAGCTTTCAAATACATTTAATTCAAGTTTAAAATAAAACTTAAATAAAAAAGCTTTTACATTTAGCTTTAAAGTGCTGTAGTCAGATCAAACAAACAATTATGCTAAATGTGGTTTAAGGACTACTTCAGCTACCAGGCTGACTGTTGAAATGTGAACTCGACTGGGCACATTGAACTTCCTAAAAATATAGGCCAACTAATGTCATAGAACCCTTGCGAAATAATTTTAAATAGATTTTAAAAAGCCACCGCTACTGGTAACATCTATGGTTAGATTGATTTGTTTAGATCTATTGAAGTCGTTCATAGGCGTAATTTGCGGGTATCTCCAGTTAACTAGCAGAGCATTCATTTAGTTCGCTATTAAAATAAGAGATCTGTTGTTTTTGAATTAAAGCTGAGCGCTGTCAGCGCTCGTTGCGCTGCTATCAGTGTCATGGATACAGTGTTCTCTGTGGCTCGCGCAGTCTTCACTCGGACGCGCGCTTCATATCGCCGTTGTGGTTCCGGTGAAATCTCAAAATAAAATGCACACAAACGTGATGAACATATTCGGTTTTGATGAGAGAGAGAAAAAACTATACGAGTGCGGTTTTGAACCCGTAACCTCTGACACGCTTGGCAAAAGATCTACAGACCATTAAGAACTCAAACATAATCTGCGGATCGATGCATTTATTTACAGGTTGAGCAGAGAGGCTGCACAGTTTGACCAGCGAGCGGCAAGAACTTGCAATGTAACTATTTATAAGACCGGCCCTCGCGGCCTCGAAACACTACCGGATCCACCACCGGTAAAAGTCCCGACTCAGCCGATTGCCACTCCGCCATAACAAGCCATAAAAAAAAAATATGAATCGATTTTTGGAATTCAATGAATCAATTCTGAATCGGTAAAGATTGAATCGCGATTCAAATGTGAATCGATTTTTTTGCACACCCCTAGTTTTACGCTCGTTACTCCTTGTGGAAGTTATGCGTTTGGAGAGCTAATACAATATTAAAACTCAAATCCATATTTTGTGTACAGTTATTTAATTGTCATCTGGTATCCCAGACTCACTCTCTCTTGTTTCATCCAAATGCAGCTGCTGCCGTTTTGCAAAGATTGTTTTGTTCACTGTAATGGTTTATATTATAAGATAACCAACAGGTACGATTTTAACACTAGAACCGCCAGGGGTCGTTGTATACCTAAAACCACTAGCGGGTAAAATTTACCCATGCACATGACTTCTGTTTTTATATGGCCAAAAAATGTATTATGTGACTGTATTATGCCATTGTCAAAGTAATGTCTAAAGTCATGAAATTATTGTTTTTTCAGTCATCAATTATCTTTTTGTCCTGTTGTTTTATGTTTAAGGCTATTTTAAGCAGTCTACACTAATCACTTTTCTTAACGGTGAATATAGGCTCAACCAGCCTGCAGTGACAACGAGAATTAGAGGGAAATAAATGCATATTTGGGTGGTGTAATATTATAATAAAATGTCATTAATCACATATTAAGATAACCCATCTTATTTAAATGACTAAAATACCCTAGACAAAAATTAGCAATAATAATTCACCGCACTGGATGTATGATGCAACTTTCACCTAATTAATTATTAATGTGTTTAGTTATATAATTTATAATTTGAACAAGAGAACACCACCAATAAACTTTGGGTAATCATAAAAAAAAAAGTATTCATTACATGTCAAGTCAAGTCACCTTTATTTATATAGCGCATTTTACAATACATATTGTATCAAAGCAGCTTCACAGTGATAACATGAAAATAATACAACAAAGTTTGTTTCTAGAAGAAAATTGCGTCAACGTCCACCTTAAGTAAGGCAGATCAGTAATATTGTTGAATATTAAATGTTTCCCAACTAAGCAAGCCAAAAGCCAAGGCAACAGTGGTAAGGAACCAAAACTTCATCAGGTGACAGAATGGAGAAAAAAACCTTGGGAGAACCCAGGCTCAGTCGGGGGCCAGATCTCCTCTGGCCAACGAAGGAACAGTGTATGATTCGGGCACATCATAGATCGGATTTTTTTTTTTTCAGGAAATGGGCAGACTTCAAGACAGTAGCGAACAATACACGATAAAAATTGCAAAACAAAAAATTATAAATACTACAAAGTTTGAACATTTATGAGTAGGCTATAACATCTTCATTTGAACGTGTGTTGTGTGACTGTTTACAGTAAGCTTACACTTTGCTCAAACACAACATGAATATAAAGGCATTATATAGGTAAATTTGACCTGCTGGCGGTTTTAGGTATAAATGCCCTGTTTTTAATCTGGTTTTATCATTTACAATCCCCTGTTGTTAAAAATTGTTTAAACAATTTTATTAAAAGTCAATGACTGGGAGACTTGGATATTTTATTGAAAATCTACATTTGAAAAACAGCCATGGGTAAATTTTACCCCGTGGCGGTTGTAGTGTTAAAACCACTTCATCTCAAATCAATATCTCTTGTCCCCATAATTATTTATGTGGTGAAATACCGTGTAATAAGTGGTGTGACTGTACTGTATCCCTTAAATGTCCATCTAGTTTGAACTTGCCGCTTGCTAGCAACTGCTTTCTCCGCGGAAGCTTTTCGTTTGCGTTTAAAGAGCTAATAAAATATTTAGACTCGGATCAATATTTCATGTCTAATTGTTTACTTGTGTGGCAAGTAGCCATGTAATAAGCGGGATTATGTACATCCAGCCGGTTGTTATCGCAGAGTAAACCCCCTCCTGATCACCCTGTCAGGGTTTATTCTGCAATAACAACCGGCTGGATGTACATTATCCCTTACTTAACACAACTAATTGTAGGTTAAAAGGTCATTACAACTGTGATTATCTGATTTCAAAGATTACTATTTGCATGAAATAGAGATCAACATAAATTAAATTTCACCATGTTATTTTTCCATCTCCCAGCACCCAACTCTGTATTTGGTCACAAAGATGCACCCAGTGCACAACAGCACTTCAGCGGACCCCACGAGCCATGGAACAGACTCCACCGCACGCCGCCGTCCTTCCCCACCCCACCTCCCTGGCTCAAACCAGGAGACTCAGAACGCAGCGCATCAGTCAGCTCACATGAGAGAGAACGAGAAAGGGACAGGGAAAGGGAAAGAGAACGTGACCTGGACAAGAGGGATTCATCAGTCAACAAGGATGATAAAGAACGGTGTGTAGAGCTGTGTGAATGATATCAATACAAGAATCACGTGATATTATTTGCCAAAGCTAGGAAGTTTTTCTTTAAGTATGTATTACAATCAGCTGGTCATTATTGCAGAATAAACAGGAGGTGATCGGAGGTCTTGTGTCACCCTGAAGAGAGGTTTATTGTACATTAATGAACAGCAGACTGTTGATTATCCAAACAATAATGGTCCATTTTACCTCTAGGGAACCTGCTGAGAAGAGGCACCAGAATCACCAATCCCCGATTCCTGTTAACCCTCTCACTCTGTTGGGTCACACTCGGTCATCTGAGCCCTCCCGGAACCACATCTCTTCCAGCGAGCCTCGGGACAAGGACAAGCCCAAAGATCGTGAGAGAGAACGAGAGCACTCAGACTGGAAAGACTCCAACACAGATGAGCACAAGGGGAAGGAGAATCACCACAATGACAAGGACATTTCCGTCATCCACGATAGCCGAGTTTCTGAAGACAAGCCAGCCAATCGGGTTACAGCGTCACCCTATATGCGACCAGGCGGCATAGATCGGGTGAACGGCGGGTTGACTCGAGACGTTCTGGAGAAGAAAGCTGAGATCACCTATGAGAAGAAAAACAGTGAGGTGAAGGTGAAAGAAGAGAGGAAAGAGGAACAGGACGGTCCCACGGAAAGAACACCAGAGCAAAGATCCACGCCACAAGCACCTCCTCCTCCCGCTGCTCTCCACCCTCCATCTTCAATGCCGGTACCCATGGGCATGGCCAGCATGCATCCCATAAACAGTATCAGTAGTCTGGAGAGGACTCGTATGGTGGCCCCCTTTATGGGTATCAGTCCCATCCCAGGGGCGGAGAGGTTTCCCTATCCCGCCTTTCATTGGGATCCCATGAGGGACCCTTACAGGGGACTCGACATCCACCGGAGGGATCCATTAGCTCGGGATCTGCTACTACGGAATGACCCTCTGCACCGGTTAGCAGCGCCGCGGCTGTATGATGCAGAGCGCTCATACCGAGACCGTGAGCCTCATGACTTTAACCGAGACCACCCTCACGGACTGACCTTGGAACAGCGGCGGGAACAAGAGAGGGCACACCTAGAAGAGAGGGAACGTCTGCACATGCTCCGAGAGGACTATGAGCAAGGCCGTCTGCACCACATGCATCACCCCGCTTTAGATGGACATCTCCCTCACCCTGGTCTCATGGCCCCCGGACTTCCCAGCATGCACTACCCCCGTGTTAGCCCCTCCTCTGCTGTGGCTGCTGCCGCCCAGAACGGAATCCTCAACAAACCCCCCCCCACCGCATCACTCAGTGCCCCTCCCCCTCTTATCCCAACGCTGGGAGCACGTTCCACGTCTCCCAGACGGACTACCCCACTTGGCACTGACATTAGAGACAGACCTCCTTCACACACACACAAAGACATCGAGGCACGGTGAGACCCCCTGATGGACTATAATGGAACTCAAAAGCAAGCACTTGAGGCTGTATTATATCGGTGTATAGATTGTGCATTACTGATTTTTGTGCGTTTTTGTTTTTGTACAAAAGACTGAGATTTTTTCATGCTCTTTTATCCTGTTCACTCCTGCGTTGGTGTGTATTCTTAAACATATACAGTACACTGATCTTGAGCAAGTGGACAAATGTTAGATCTCCATCATGGAAAAGATGATTTTGGAATGTACAGGTACCTCAATACATGGACAAAAGGCAAAACTATGTAGATATGTGCAAAGTCTGTGTTTTCTCCCCTTGAGGGAAAACAATGTAAGGTACAAATATGCAAATGGATGTTATGAAAGCTTTACTTTGAAATGCTGTACATAGTGGGCAGTGATCAAAAGGAGAGCGAGTGCACAGGCTCTGGTTTTAGTTTAATGCTGCATATTAATGGTTTTGAAGGATCATATTGTCCAAGAGACCACATCCCTTCTTTCAACTATGCAACTCATGCGTGGGCTCTCTCTGTATCACGTTTTCTCTCTCCTAGAGGACTAGCAGTCTCTACTGAACCCTCACATTCTCCTTTCAAAGCAACAGTACATGCTTACACACGACTTACAAGATTGTTCCTAGATGGGAATTTTCACCAATGAGTATTACTCACACTGAAGCCCATCTGGCAAGCATATCCCCTAACTCTTGATCCAAAAACAAGCTTTTGTTCGACAAGATAGAAAGAAAAATAAATAATAATAAAAAATCTGTGTTGACAATCCTTACAAATACACAAATGTTTCAGGAACCTAACAAAACCTAAATTCGCTGAATTACCTCTAAATCAGAAGACGGTGCAAACATGACAACACAACCCTTCATGTCACGAGATGTTTTGAGTACAGAAAGCAGGACAATTCCCTATTGGTCTAACTGTGTATTAAAATATTATGTATCTACACAATGATAAAGTGAGTTGTAAGCTATGGAAGTTTGTTTTTAATGAGCAGAGATCTATTTTAGTAGTCCATGGGAGGGATAGTTGTGCGCTTTTAAACTCTGTGAAATTCAGATGTTGTGCAGTGCTTTTTTTTTTTTCTACTTTTTTGTTTTCTTAAATCAAACAATAAAATGTCCACTGAAGCAGTAGTGGGTAGTCAATACGTATTGCAAAGAGATTGTAAGAAATTTTTTGCTGTTTATCATGTACGTAAAAAAATGAAGTCCTTTCTAGATCATGTACAAAAAAAGGGTGAGGCGACAGCATGCTCCTCAGTTAAACTTGTGTTATGTAAATTGTGCCATGTTATTAAAAAATGTGAACTCATTTTGTCCTAAAGTTTCTTTTTCTCAATACTCCCCATCATAAAAGTGCACATACATGAACGGTTGAGATTTAAGAACGATGTTATACTTATAATCAATACACCTAAGCCAAATCTGATAGCAGCATTTAAAGCAAGCACTAGTATTACTGTTGCTTCTGTTTAGGATTAGTGGTATATAAGTGCTTTTACTTTTCTGAACCAACTGATTGGCTGCTCAACTAGCTACTTTTGCCTGGAGAATAAAATGAGTGGAAAAAATATACGTTTTCTTTCCTTTGTGTGCATTTAGCTACCTACCAACACATAAGGAAACTGTAAAAGCATTTTATACACGGAACGAGCATGATAGCGTTTCTGCAATGAGTTGAACAATACTTGCAGCGCTGATTGGAGTTTATTTACTAACCGCTTGCGCCAGCGCAAACCCTCTTTTGACGTAAAAAAAAAACTATTGTCAGGATTTACTGAAGACAAGCAGTGAAAAATTAGAGCTGAAAAGGTGTGGACAGTTGTTTTTGTGGCTGACTTTATAACATAGGCCTATGCATTTGTAGGAGTTTCCCTTTCAGAGGCTAAATTATGGGAGGAGATTGTTTAAATGAATCACGCAAGGTGATCAGGTTTACGCTCGTCAATTCACTGGTGTTTGCGCCATTATTTACCGCCCAGAAAAAAAACCCGTCTTAAATCAGATGCTAATTTGCGCTGCTCTTGGTAGATTGTGTTGATCATTATGGAAAAGATCCGGCTGCATCTGTGTTCTTTAATTTGCGTGTCGTCACTAGATCACCAGCAGAACTTTCCACTCCCATTGGTGCTTTTTTGGAATAATTTGCCCTGTTCAGTAAATCTGGCCCTATCCAGACCTGAGTGAGCGTGTTTCATGTTTTCATGGACATATTTCATGTAGGCCTACTCTTTAACAACTGTAAATGATTCAATTAAAACGCAAACAATAGTATTGAAATTGTAAAGTTGTAGCCTAGGCCTACTATAAAATAAATATAGGCCTACTCAAATTCTGTCATATCAAACTTTTGATTATCATTAATAATGTCAATTATTTTCTAATCTCAAGTATTTTGGTGAATCTTGAGATAGATTAGGCCTACTATGGGTCCTGAAATGGAAAAGTTTAGGAAATTAAATCGTTCAAAACCTAAATCACATCAATTATTCAACTTGTTCGCTCAGAACGGCTTGCAGAAGAGAAGATGGTGTAGGACACGCTGCAGGTCTCATATGAAATGTTGAAAGATTATTTGTGTTTATCAGAAAGCTGTTTAGGCTGCTGAGTCTAAATATCTATCTGAGGTCATTGGTGCACTCTAAAAAAACACTGGGTTAAAAACAACCCAATGGCTGGGTATTTAGGACTGAACACATGTTGGGTTAATTTAACCCGGTATAATTTGTTGATTAATTTTTTATATAATACTAGCATATTTTTTACTTTATACATGAATTAATGTTTACGGATTAATTTAAATCCTCTAAATTTAGGCTACAAACACTGGTTTGATAATTCTTTTATTTTCAATCTTATTTTACAGTATAGCATATTTTATATAATTTTTTAATACATATTGCCTACATTTAAGCTCGTTTAACAAATATTAGAAGTAAAAAAAAAATAACAGAAGTAATTCAAGTGACTGCGCTGGATCTGCAAGAGAAAGTGTCATGTTCAGCGAGGGAACTCAGTAGCCGAAATATGCTGTCTGTCTCACTCCATAACATGTCCATAAACAATCAGTGTACATTTCTGAGAACATATTTTAACATCTTAAGTAATTATATTCTGTATATTTTTGAATAAAATTATAAAATTGTATGCAAGGAATCAGGCGTTTCCATCACGCGAAAAGACTGACGCTACACTCATTTAAGTGACTCACATAGTAAAAACATCGTTAAAATAGTGCAGTGAAGTGACTACAGTGGTTCAACCTTAAGTTTATCAAGCGATGAGAATACTTTTTGTGCGCAAAAACAAACAAAACTAATGACTTTATTCAACTTTATTCAACTATTCATCGTCACCTTTATTTTTTTAACCGCTAGAGGGCCAAAAGTTACATTGTGAATAGTAGCGGCTTTCAAATACAACTAGGCCTACTGCTACTACTCCTACTGATACTCCGGATAGTTCACCCAAAAATAAATATTCTGTCATCATTTACTCACCCTCAAGTTGTTCCTACCTGTATGAATTTCTGTCTTCTGCTGAACACAAATGAAGATATTTTAAAGATTATGGATGGGTAACCAAACAGTTGATGGACCCTATTGATTTTCATAGTAGCCTATGGGGGGGGGGGGGATACTATGAAAGTCGATGAGGCCCATCAACTGCTTGGTTACCGACATTCTTCAAAATCTTTTCTGTAGCCTATTATGTTCAGCAAAAGAAACAATCCGCTTTTTTACAATCCGCTTTGAGCACCTGTCACCACTAGATGGCAGCAACGCTCCTTTGTTAAATCTGAACACGTCATTGATAGTTCTGGCAACATAACCAGCTAGAGCAGGTATATAGAGGAACAGGTGCAGCGGAGGGCGTGGTACACACACAGCTCTTACATCGACTCATCGTGCTCAGGCTGTCATCTGAGAAGGTTCATGAGCCGGTCAGTCTGGTTTATGAGTAATCACCCACAGGCATGCAAACAACGAATGCTGTCAAACAGGAAAAACCCTTGAAGACCAAAACGCGAGGGAGACAGTGAGGAGGAAATATTAAATTCTGTGAATTCGAACGAAACAGACCAAACACTGTGATTCCGATTTATGCTACATCCGTGCATGCACAAATTGCGTAACATCTTATTTGCATTCATTTCAGTCATTTATCGGGTTACAATTTTAATCCATGAGATGCAGCAGCAAATAAAACTGCATTCCAAGCACTGAGTGACACATGAAAGAACCATCAATCAAGCACTGAATAACATCCTCTGTTCCTCTGGCTGCACTGCAAATCTAAAACATCCTCTGTTAAGATGCTAAAAAAAAATCTCCTGAGTGCATCAATACAACCATGAAGGGGATTAGTTACAAATACTCTCATGCCTGACAACGATAATAATTAGGCTATATGCATCCAAACACATTCATCCACACAAAATCCTTGTCTATTTCTGATTACACAGCAGCCATATCACCCTGTAGCCCAAGACTGGTTGCCCACTGAAGCTAAGCAGGGTTGAGCCTGGTCAGTACCTGGATGGGAGACCTTCTGGGAAAACTAGGGTTGCTGCTGGAAGAGGTGTTAGGGAGGCCCGTAGGTGGTGCTCACCCTGTGGTCTGTGTGGGTCGCCCCTGTATAGTGACGAGGACACTATACTGTCAAAGAGCACCGTCCTTCGGATGAGACATTAAACCGAGGTCCTGACTCTCTGTGGTCACAAAAAATCCTGGGCCCAGGATGTCTTTCGAAAGAAAAGGGGTGTAGCCCCGGTGTCCTCTGTCCATCATGGCCTCCTAATCATCCCCATATATACTAATTGGCTTCATCACTCTGTCTCCACCAATAATCTGGTGTGTGGTGGGCGTTCTGCCGCAGTGTGGCTGCCGTCGCATCATCCAGGTGGATGCTGCACATTGGTGGTGGTTGAGGAGATCCCCCCCCTCCTTCTATGTAAAGCAAAATGAGTGCAGAGAAAAGCACTATATAAATGTAATGAATGAATTATTATTATTCTCATTGTTCAATATTCCAGTTAAATCTATATCATGTAAGGATGAATGAAAGAGACATAATGAAATATAATCTTAAAAATGTACTGCCTCCAGTCCAAACCCCTTTTGCAAGAACATTTCTATTCAAATTATGAAGGTAATTGAACACCTACAGAATAACATTCCTAGGAAAGAAAGAGTTCCTCAAAGGAATTGAAGCCTTGTTCTGTGCACCAGCCACATGTCCTTGATTCCCGTGAACAGACTGAAATAAGCCAGAGATTCTTCTGTGCTACACAAAGCACTGATAAGACAAAAACAGCTGCTTTACCTCCAAACAAGCAAGATTAAACAGTTCAGCCGTATAAATAACATGTTCACAGTGCAATGTAATATTTATGACATGTACTGAAATACCACATTTGAACTGTTTTAAACTCATGCTATGGATTCTGTTATCAAAGAGAGCGTGACCTTCTCTTCAGTCTGACTGCATTAATATTAATGCATGTTGAGCTTATCAGAGTGAAACTCATCTATTCGTAACGTACCAAAACCAGTGCATGATGTGTCAAGATAAGGGATTTTTTTCTTCTTTTCAAAACTCAATTTCTGATGCATTTCATGGATCAGTCTGGGGTGTAAGTACTTGAAAAAGCTCCATGCATCAAACATGACTAAATGCAAAAGAGATTAAAAAAGTGCATGTTCACAGCAGGGGCATCACTAGGCCCTTTTCGGGTTCTTCAGTCCGCTGCGCCATCGGCAGAAATAGATGACAAGGGGTTTGCATTTGTTGATTGTTATGGTATCTGCATGCAGTTACCTCATCACAAGTTTTCCTCCAGAAAAAAATGAACACCCATGAAGACATACTTTAGAAAATGTTATTTTCATTTGAAAATGTAATTTTTAAATTAAAATGTGCTATTGTGGATGTGGCATTAGATTAACATTATGCACAGAAATAGTTAGACATAATCACACTGTAAATGATCGGTTGGTTTAACTTAAAGTAGCCTAACCTTTCTGTAAAGCTGCTTTGAAACGATATGTATTGTGAAAAGCGCTATGCGAAATGTGAATAAATGAATTATTTATTTTTTCCAATAGAAAACAAAAAGGGAATGGTTTAATATAGAGGGCAGATTATTGCCAATCTCTAAAATTACAGTAATGTAAGGTGTGTCTATTCTAAATGAATGAATTTGATCTGGTTAAAATGGTTTGAAATAAAAATCAATATTCAGGGGTTGACTTGATAGGTAGTGTAGAATGATAAAGTTGAAATCTTTTTTTAAGTCCCTAGTGAACTA